TTGTCCAATCTCTTCTTGAATTGCTCAGCCACATCTGGGGTAGTGACTGCTCATGCAATCTTATTAGCGGAATATATAGGACATGTACAAAGCTCAGGAGGTCTATCCATTCTAGAGCATCTCCAGAAAAGTGTAACTAATTCACAGTTTTTACTTCTGCGTGGACGGCTCAGATCTCCCGAAATGTTTTCATTCTCTCTCTCTCTCTCTCTCTCTCTCTCTCTCTCTCTCTCTCTCTCTCTCTCTCTCTCTCTCTCTCCTGTATCTCCCTCTCTCTCTTTCTCTTTCTCTCCTGTATCTCCCTCTTCCTGTCTTTCTCTCTCCCTACTTACATCTATCTATCATCTATCATCTCTCTCTGTCTCTCTCCCTCCTTACATCTGTCTGTCTATCATCTATCATCTGTCTATGTCTGTCTGTCTGTCTGTCTGTCTGTCTGTCTATCTATAGCATCTCCCTCTCCCTTTCTCTCTCTCCCTTTCTCTCTCCTGTATCTCCCTCTTCCTGTCTCTCTCTCCCTACTTACATCTGCCTATCATCTCTCTCCCTCCCTCCCTTCCTACTTACATCTCTCTCTCTCCCTACTTACATCTATCATCTATCATCTGTCTATGTCTGTCTGTCTGTCTGTCTGTCTGTCTGTCTGTCTGTCTGTCTGTCTGTCTGTCTGTCTGTCTATCTATCTATCTACAGCATTTCTCTCTCTCTCTCTCTCTCTCTCTCTCTCTCTCTCTCTCTCTCTCTCTTACATACACACACACACACACACACACAAATCTAACATTTCTGGTTCTCCTCAAAACTCTTCTAAGAGTTCAGGTGGGAACCACAAAAGCTGGTGAGGTCTTCACAAAATTCATCTTTAGCTAATTTGGGAGCCTCCATTCATGGGGTGTGCGGAAGCTTTGCAGGTTAACTCCTAATTTATCTCGTGGTCCTCAAAGGCTTGTGACGACAACGTAGACCTGCCCATAGCGGAAAAGACTGGAAACCATCCAACTGGAAAAACGAACTCAAGAACCTTCCTATTGGACGTCGGTATGAAACATTTTCACCCAATCCCCCCAGTTGGAGATGATGGATCGGTGATTTGAAGAAGGGTTGATATATCTAAGATAGGTAATGCCATAAACTCTTACGCTGTGATAGAAATGTTAGCTGCAGACAGGGGGCTAACATCTGCAACCTCTTTCGCCTTCTGCAAGGCAAGTTTCTGGTTGGTGGCTTCTTCCATTTCTTCTTCATCCTGCAATGGAGAACAACGGTGGAGAGAAAGACAACTTGATTCAAAGGACCGTCTTGCTTTCACCCCTTCTCTTTTTTTCTTTTTTTTTGAAAAAAGATAGATATTATTACTTCTGCACCGCTGTTAAACACTTGAGTGATGTCTAGGAAGATCTTCCTGAATCTCATCATACTTCCAAACAAGAGTAAGAAGAACACTGTTCTTGGTCCCTGTTTCCATAAGCATGGGTGATTGAATTTCCAGGATCTTTCCTAGGAAACTCTACATTTTTTTTCCAGTTGCCATTAAAGGCCAGAAGCACCAGCTATTATCTACTTTCCTGAAATAAATTCCACCAAATTCTAATAGGAGCCTGGGGAGACTTGTAAAGCATTGAAACAATATTTGTAGCTCGGGATCTGTGGGGGTCCTTGGTGTTCTCTGAGTTTGGTGGTTTGCTTGCAGACGTTTCGTGACCCAACTAGGTAACATCATCAGTGCTAGAAGGGAAGAGAGCAAACCCCATTCTCTTCTAGCACTGAAGATGTTACCTAGTTGGGTCATCTTCAAGAAAGCAACCAAGCTCAGAGAAGACCAACGGCTCCAGAGTTGTAAAGCTAATCGGTCAAGTATCTGAGGCCATTTAATCAAAGGATAAACCTTACACAGCCCTCTTTTTTTTCTCTCTCTTTCTTACTCACCTTGGTCAACTCTTGTGCGTTGGCAAGATTGTCTACCGCAATGGCCAAGAAGACATTCAGGAGCGTATCTGGTTCAGCTGTTAAGGATCTCAAAGGACGTGACTCTCCTTTTTTTTTTTAATTTTTTTTTCCCAAACTCTCCCCCATACATATACCATGATATTTATCAGATATTAACATACATTCTTTTTACATTCTTATATATAAGATACTTTTAATGAAATAAATACATACACATGACTTTTGGTGTTGCTCGCCCATTTCCCCTTTCACTGCATCCCCACTCCTCTTTCTCTACCTTCTTTCTCCCTTCCTTCTCTTTCTTCCCTACTTCCCTCTTCTTCCTCTCCTCGCCTCTTCTCTTTCACCACTCTCTCCTCCAACCTTCCTACTTCCTTCTCCCCTCCTTTACTCTTTTCTCTCTCCTCTCCTCTCCTTTCTTCCCTCTCATCCCTCTTCAGATACAATTCAGGGGTAATGACGTGACTCTCCTTGTGTGCTAAACCGAAGGTAAAAAGCGCCGTTTCTTCCCAAACAAATTAGAAGGTAGCAAAAAAATAAGATGCCTGCCTGTGTCTGAATTACAAAAAAAAATAATTAAAAAAGAGGAAGGGAGAAGGTCCGTAGGAACAGATGGCGACTCGCACCTTTAATTCTCCTCTAAATGTTTTGCCTGGGCTTCTCTCAGTCCAGCAGGAAATGTCTAGTTAAGAACATCTCCACATTTCTCTTCTGAGAAATTTCTCTTCGCCACTAGACCAAACTGGCTCTGGGTCAGTTAATGAACTACTAACGAAGTAATATCTAAGCCAAAAGATTCAAAGCTTTCACTATCCCATAACAGCGTGGCGCAAACCTAAGATCATAAGCATATGGATTATGACAGAGGGCTGTCTTAATTTCATTAGTTCAATATAGTTGTCTGCTCCAGAAGATGCTACGCGGCTTAGGGAAAAAAAATTACACAATTAAAACCCACAAAAATGGGCAGCCCAGACTAAGACAACAGTAGGGGGGGAAAAACCCACAAA